ATAAATTACATTGAATAAAAAATTAAGAAAGGAACCTAATACCATATTTATATGCATGAATTGGAAACGGGAATTGGCGACATGAAACGCCATTTTTTGATAGTTTTGTTTTCTGCCTTCAAACAAATATTGTGACATGTCACTTAATGTATGTCAAAATTACTCTTTTTACTACTGAGATCTACTTAAAGATAATCTGGAACTAAACCAAGATTATACACGTATGTCGAGGAACTGGGGAATATGCGGGTCATTACACTCTCCTGATATCTTACAGAATCATGATATCATATCTACATAACATGATATCATATACAGGGTGTCCCAAGCTGAGCGTGAATTAGAAGTTTCTAGAGAACTACAATATCTAGATCGGAGATTTTTTGCACATATTTGTTTCGCAACGAGATCTATCGACTCAAAATATTTTCAACATGGCGGAACTTCCGGAAATACCGGAAGTTGACAGCAACTTTCTTATTTTAAATGGGTACCCCCCATTTTTTATTACATACTTAAATTCTCTGTAAAATTTTATGAGTTTTGATATCAAACACACTATATCTAACATTAACCGTTTTTGAGAAAAAAAATGTTTAAAATTTTTGAACGAAAAAACTGCCTGTCAAAAAAAAATTGTATAACCTAAACGTCAAATTTATTGATCACCACAGCCACTGTCACATAAAGAGAAGACATGCATGTGGTTATCTATTTCAAAAATTAAATTAAATAGAATATAAATAATAATTCAAAAAATGTCATAAATAATTTTTTCCAAATAAAAACCTACTTTTTTTATTTCGCTAGTGAAAAGGTTACTTTTTGATTAGGCTGTACTTAAACTGCCGTTAAACGGTAGCTTACTAAAATGCCGTTAATAGGTATGACGTCGTTGATGTGACGCACTTGACGGGCTTTATGAAATATAGGAATTTTATAAGGACTAACCAACGCTATCCATCCTACCAAATAACTAACTTATCCAACGCAACTAATATCGACACTGATAAAAAAATATAAAAAACAAATATGAATTAGTAAAAACCAACCAACCCCACCAAATATCCAACTAACCAAAGAATTAACACCCTCCAAATAACCACGCTAACCAACCCGCCAAATAACTAAACCAATCCAATCAAAAGTGAAACCAATGCAATAAGATCACGCTATAAGCAAAAAAAATATAAAAAAGTCTTGGTCAGCGTGAGATTTGAACCACGGACCATGCGCTCACGAAGCGATAACCTTAGCCATGGAGCCACAGGTGCTCTTGCAAAATGCGTATAGGTAGGCATTACTTTCCACCGACATGAACGACGTCACGATATCTATTAACGGCATTTTAGTAGGCTACCGTTTAACGGCTGTTTAAGTACATCGTTTTGATTATACATGTAATAGATAAGTTTTTCGAACGACTCAGGGAAGATTACTACTCACGACATTCAAAAAATAACGAAAAATATAATTAGTGAGTTAAAATGACCGTAGTACCCTTGTAGTACCACAGCTGGAATTATGATGATAATAGAGAAACTGATACAGGGTGGTCCGAACTGTATTCTGGCAACTTCGGCAGCATATTCTACAGATAAAAATAAGTAAAAAAGTTCGTATAAAGGTATTTTTATTTCGATATTTCCAAATAATTTATACGAACTTTTTTACTTATTTTTATCTGCAGAATTTGCTGCCGAAGTTTCCGGAATACAGTTCGGACCACCCTGTATATTATCACGCAGTCAAACCTAAACGTAACGCAACAAATATGAGCAAACAATGTAGAAAACAACAAATATATAAAAGAAATCCAGATAACTTTACTGACATCTTTATTTACACTTGGTTAATGGCAAATGGCAAAAAAATGTTAAATTTTATTCGCAATTTTTATTGGAAAAATAAATTTATTTTCAATCGGCACGCTACTAATTCGATTGTGTCATAAAAATTAAATTAGAAATATTAATCTGTCGGAAGGACAGGGAACGAGCGGTACGAAATTTGTGGGCAAATAAATTTATAAGAGCTACCTATAAAATAGCGACAATAAAGAGAGCACAGCGGGCGAACCGTGTGCTATAAATTTTATCATCTTATAAAAAATAATCCCGTAATTGATAATTTTTATCGCCAATTAGAATCCATAAATATTTCGGATGGATACATGTCACATACACGCGTATATATCACTTTGTTGTGCCGGAGAGCACTAAAATTTATTGTCGAGTCGAAAATGTGTCGGCAATTGTGATTGGTTCAATGAAATCATCGATAAAATGTCTACATATAGATATTATATTTAAGTGTATTTGTAATCACAAGTTTAATTTGAATTTATCGATCCATTAAAAATTATTTTAAATACATCTAGAGTATAGTCTACGAGGTCTCGGGTCTAGGAGCTTGCCGAGCACTTAGCCGAACCGAATCGAAACGAGCAGAACTAATTGTATTAAAATGCAATTTGTATTGAAATTATTTTTTTTGAGCATATGTAGGTTAGTTAAGAGCATTTTTTAAAATTATAGTGAGTTCTACAGGAGGTCCCAAAAAAAAGTTACACATCAAAGTTTAGTTTTTTGTAATGGAACACCCTATATATTAATTGACTTTCGAATTCTAGGAGAAAAATAAAGGTGAGTTTCATTACAGAAGTATATGACTAAAATGTAAGGTTTTTGACATATTTAACATTTTCTAAAAATGAAGATCAAATTTTATATTTCAATAAAAGCTACCTAAATTGGAATTTACCCGGTATAGCCTAACATTTAGTTGAAATTACTATTATACTTTAAATCAAATTAAAACTTTACTCAAAAAGTTATGCAGGGTGAGACAACATTAATATTGACCATTGGTCACCTTTAAAAGCTAGTTACTCTTTTATTTTAAATGGAACACCCAGTATATTATTCAGATATTAAATGAAGAATTCATGTCTCTTCAAAATATTATAAAGGTTGCCTACGTCTCAAACACAGATTTTTCTAGATATTTTCATTTTCATGATTTAGTGTCAGTAGATCTTTATTACTTGATAAAATCTAGGTGGCTGTGATATGCCTGACGTTACGTCAACATAGCTGTCAAATTAGTTCAACTTTAACAACTAGTTATCGTTTTGTGTCAGTTAAAAGAAAACAAATTCTCATAAATTTGCCGAAAATTAAAACTTATCCTACAACAGAGAGCAAGTGACATGATTCTATTAATTGATGTTTGGAGTATGCATTCACCCATTCATAGAATGCCTAAATGCTCCTAATTTATCTGTAGCCCTCGCCAATATGATGGGTTGGTTTTCGTCTCGAAATAAACTTGGTGAATTTTATGATGTTGGCAGCATTGCTGTTTATTCAATGTCAAAATGACATTTTGATTTTAAATTAAATTTGCATTTAAACTATTTTCAATAATGTTAATAAATTAATTATTGTTCCATTGTTGAGCTTCGGTGAACTATTCTGACACGCGATTTTTCTTAGAAAATGAAGTTTATGTTACCTTAAAATGAACTTCTTGGATTCTTTGACTAAAAGCTGATGCGGAAAAACACGTTTCACATAAAAATATTCTTAAAAATGTTATTATTTGATTTTTATAGCAAATTCCAGGGCAAATTCCATAACCGCTAATGAAAGAGTCGCGGACTTGTTTATATCTATTTCCAGTTTACGCTGACAGTAGTAAAGGTCGAATTTTGACAAATATTGCGAATTGATACATGGTTGTCAGATCAGCTAGTAAATTATTCGGAATTTCATGCATCTTTTTTGTTTAGGGAAAAAAATGATGCCATAGGTTTTAAAATGTTTTTTAAGACGAATTAGATTGCTTTAGTTCATCAAATTGGCTAAATTACCGCGCCGGCGCGCGGCGAGACAATTGCTATAGTTATAGTTCTAGCAATGAAAACACGCTGTAAGCTGGATGGGCTTTTTATGAGGATATGTTAAAATTAGTGTTTATAAATGTCGACCAACTAATATCGACAACATGAGAGAAACGAATATGGCTGCTTTTCGAAGTAGAATTACTACATGCCTCTTAACATTAAAAGATCTTTTGAAATGAGAATCATTTTATGGAATAAACAGGAAAAGAAGTGCATTATATTATTTCAACTTGCTAAAATTTGTCACATAATTATACGCTAATATTTAGTGTTAATTCTGTAATAATGAAACTATGTATTAAACGTGTATCTATTTATAACCGTTGAATATTTTAATCTAGATCCTTTAATTTTTGTTAAATTAACGAAAGGTTGATCACATCCACCTAGATTATGTCAAATAATAAAGATCTATTGACGCAAAATCATAAAAATAAAAATATCTAGGAAAATCCTTGACTAAGAGGTAGGCAACCTTAAGTATATGTTGAAGATATATAAATTCTCCATTGAATATCGGAATAATATACTGGGTGTTTCATTTGAAATAAAGAAGTAATTTGCTTTTAAAAGTGACCGCAATGTTTAATATTAATTTTGTCCAACCCCGTATAATTTTTTGGGTTAAATTTTAATTTTGTTTAACATTCAATGGCTATTTTAACGAGATATCAGGCTATACAGGGTTAATTCCAATTTAGGTAGCTTCCATTGAAATTTGAAGTTTATTCTTCATTTTTAGAAAATGTTAAATATGTCAAAAATCTTACATTTTAGTCATACACTTCTTCAATAAAACTCACCTTTATTTTTCTTCTAGAATCCGAAAATCAATTAATATATAGGGTGTTCCGTTACAAAAAAAACAACTTTGATGCGTAACTATTTTTGAGGACACCCTGTAGAGCTCTCTCTATTTTTAAACATGCTATAAACTAACCTACATATGCCTCCAAAATTTCATTTGGATATAAACGACCGTCGTATGAGAGGCGTCACCCTGTATAAAGTTTTTTTTTAATTCGCCACTCATAGCATTATGCATATGATAAAATATCATTAAAATCAAACCATTCAGGAACAAACTCACCACGTTTTAGTTTCTCCAACGGCTCGTGGTGCAGCGACGGGGTGTGCGGCACCACCCCGTGATGGTGTCCCGAATCGTGTGACGTCACGTGGTGACCGAGCACCGCCGATCCCCCGCTCATGATTCCGGAAATGGCCGAGCTGACCGAGACCGCCGAGCTGACCGAGTCGTGCAGGTGGTGAACGCCATGGAGATGATCGGAGTTGGCCGAGGACGTGGTCACCCCGGTCACTAGTTCCTGGAGGCACAGAGCTGGATCCGACAGTTGCTCTATCCTATCCATGGGCTTGTAGGGGGCGAGGCTGTGTAGGAGGGTCGTCGTGGCGGATGATTTCGGTCTCACTTCAAACGAGTATAAGGGTCAATCTGCAACAAAATTAAAGTTATGTATTTCAAAGTTATCTTAACACACCGGGAAAACATTGTTAAGTTTTGGAAAAAACTGGGATTTTGTCACTGAAGAATACTCTACAAGCATTGTTTAAACTTGCTTAAGTCGACCAATAAAACAACCTATTGACTCTTGTTGTTGAACTGAACTATACGATCGGACATCAGCACATCCTGCAGCCTAATCGGGTCCAAAATAAATTAGAAATTTATGTCTTACAATAGCCCCCCGTAAGAAGATTTGGCCTTCAGATTTGGCCTTCAGAGTCTGCGGATAAAAACTTTGTTTATGTGGCGGACCAAGTATGTAGCTGGCTAAGCCTGTGGCGGACCAAGCATAGTCCAAACCCGCAGATTTGATCTGTGTTAAAAAACGATCGTAGGATAAAGTACGGCAGCTTTTATTCCGAAAAACAACAATATAAAAACTCCTATAAAACGTCGTTTTGCTACGTGATAGGCCAAGTCCGCGGTAGTCCAAGTAGTATAGATCATAGAGTACTGTATCGAATAATATAGTAATTCTACGACCGAGAAGAAAAGATTTAAACCAGAGCAATCAAAACTCATTCATGCAACTTCGTATCAATTTATAATCAGTTATCATGTAGCTGCTATACGCTTACGCTTGATGGTTTTACTCTAAAGGCAAATGTTTTAATTTTGGTGTTTATTTTGTTATCGATTTCTTGTAATTTTAAGATGAGTTGATCAGTTAAATATGGATGCGATTTAATATTCTTAAAAGTTTCATTTGTTCCTACTTACAGCAATACGCTCCCTACTCCCTACTTTACAATAGAATAACTTTTAGTGACAACTTTTAGTAAATGTTACTCTCTCTAACGACTGCTAACAATTTACTAGTAAAAGTCGACAAATTTCTATAAAATAAGACATTCCCTGATCCAATGTGTAATTCCTATATAGTGATCGAAGTTTCCAACTTTTACTGTATCATATACGAGTATAACAAAAGTAATTTCGAGACAGGTTTGCATTTTTGAGACAATTGGTCCTAATATCGTCAGACCAATCGCTTTAAAAAAAGCAAGAACTCAAAAGATACAAGATGTTTAAAATATTTTCCAAAATACTGGTGATGATTCAAACACATCTGAAAACGCTACGCTAGACCTTGAAAATAAACACGGATGATCAGCGCTGTTGGTCAGCAAGGACAATACGTTTCATGTAAAACGGTTAAATAACTATTGTTAATAGATTCCTATTTACGAAATATTCCCACATCTTATCTGTTCTCTAAACGACTTGAATGGGCACTATGAGCAGTGTGTCTCAATAGATTATACCCTCTTGCCTTGGAACAAGAGATAAGCCAATTTAATCTTGGACATGCTGATAAATTGTCATTAGATAAAATCACATTTCAAATGAACAATTACTTTATGACAGTTAAGTAAGTAGGTAAAACCCAAAAGTTCTGAAGTATATTAAAATATCTTATTATTTATTTACTAATAATAGATTGAAATTGGATTGAATTAAAAATAACCAAAATATTTTCCTTGGTTAAGGCAAATTAAATGGAAAATGAACAGATTTTTGGATATTAAAGCCGAGTATACTCCACGCACAATTATGCTTTGCTACACGTTCGCGCGGGGTGGCATAACAGATTTGAAGGAATTATTTTCTTTAACTAACATTATTTAATTAACATTCCACCTTTCCACCACTTCCTACATTATTATCATTACATCCACAATGCAACGTTTCCGATTATTCGAGGCTCGCATTTTTCTTTGATCTATTCACTTTTATTACAGCGCTGAACCCGCTAGCTTCGCCCTACATTCACTGCGAATGCACGTATATAGTTTTTCCGAAGTCAATTTGAATAGATTGAGACTTAATTTCGGCACTATCTTTGTCGACGTCATTTTTGTATGAGTCCAAGTACTTCCAATTGATTTCGGAAATGCTATACACCTATACGCTTGAGAAAGAGTAACGAATAGTAATATTCGCCAAGTATATCCTCGGCTTACCAGATACATTATTATTTTAAGCATTTAAACAAAAATGTAGAGATAAGTTTTTTATTTTGTTTTTTTTGTTATCTATAAAGTCAATATCTTCAAAGATATTTCTTTATTTCTTCATTTAGCCCTTTATTATTCGCATTATTATAATTTAGTTGTCAATAAGAAAACTATGAATCTTCTATCGATATTATAATCTACTATTGATAAGTCAAATAAAGCTGAGAGAGAATAATATATGGAGATATAAAAACGGGATCAAAAATAAATGCACCGCCTGTTCATTACCAGAAATAAAAATCTGTTTAAATATTTCAAAAGGAATTATTATTTTGAAGAGGGAATTAAGACATCAAACGGGTACGCACCTATTAGATATTATATCTAAAAATTTAATCTGACGTTTTAATACACCTTCATCGATGTTATGTCAAATATCTTCGATAGTTTCACTCTTACTGTAGCATAAACCAGATTTTTCACATTACACATACGTCGATACAAGAATAATTATATAGTAATTATCTATTAGAACCTTGTTTTAATCAGTAATATCGCGCAAGCACAAAACTATATACACATCAAATTAAAATTTTTACATTACTAAAAAAGATTAGAGATTATCCAGCGGATTTAAACTTAAGCAGCCGCTCACCTCGGAATATGATTCTGATAAACAATTTATCAGGTTGATAATATCGTTAATTCAAACACGTAATTACAGTTGTAAATGCGTGTTTTTTTCGATTGACTAGATTATACAGGAGGCTCTAGAAAGAATAACGTCAGTAAAATTGAATGATTCTATAATCACAGCGTATTTAGTACCAGATGGTCATCTTCGCTTTTTTTGGAGTGAAGCGTCTCACCTACTGCGTCTACCTATTCTCATACAAATACCAGCAGTCAGAACACAAATATCAGTTTTTTTTAATGAATAATCAATGGAGAATATAGCAATGTTACGTTAGCCTGTTTATGTACTGGTACATGAGGGTCACAAAGGCAACCGAAAGGCAGATGAAATAACCAAACAAAGCCTCATCAATGCCATCCATAGGCCCAGAGCCATAAGCGGTAATGAAGATGCTGATAAGATTGCTAAGACTGCGGCGAATGATGGAGATTTTATACCACTCGCATTTTCTATCTCTGAACTAAAATTTTTATATCTGTCCATAATAAAAATTGGTATTCAGACAGAGTGGAAAGCAACAGGAGACTCAATAAACTATATAAACGTAAACCTCAATTCTTCCAAGCTCTTGTATTTCGGTCATTATCCAGAAATGAAGAGGTCATTTGGAATCGGCTCAGATTGGGCCATTGCTATATATTTCTCATATTTCTTTTCTTTTAAAGGTGACCACCGCCTATCTGCTCTCATTGTAGCAACCAATTAACAGAGTGCACCATCTCCTAATAGAATGTCCCTCCTTCATTAATTTAAGACAATCACTTGGATCTGAATTCCGTACTTAATGTTAATAATCTACAATTTTTGTTCCAATTCATTGGGACATCTGGTTTGGGTTCATTAATATAGTTTTTTCCATAGCTACTGTTGCCTTATATCTCTCAAAAATAGTAGATAAAATAGTACTTTAACCGCAAGGGTAGATTAAATGATACTTTAACAGCGAGGATAGGTTAAAAACTTTATTCCCTCTCGCACGTTTTTTAATTGCTTCCATTTTTGAAAATGTATGTATTCCTTTTCATAAGTTATTCGGGATTTAAATGGAAGGAATTTGGATATGGCGTTTGTCGCCTCAGCCTGAATATCTGTTGGTAATTTATTTATTTCGTTTTGAGCCATTTCTGGCTCCAATTCAATCAGCAATCGACACGAAAGAGAATTAAAAAATATTGACTCAAAACTGACAACTAAATAGACAGCTTTATTTATTTGTCAAATTACATAGAAACCAACGCCAACCCAGCACAATATTTTTTCTACTCGTAATAAATTCCTTGAAATATTAATTTCTGAATATTTTTTAAAACGTAACTCGCTATGGAAAAAATATTGTTTTGTAGGCGACGATAAAATTGCATTATCGTCTCCCGAAATTAATTCACTCGCGATTTCATCGCCCGTGAATTAATCTTTTCGGTCGACGATAAAATACCATTTTATCGTCTTGTAGAAAAAATAACTATTAATTTAACTTCAATTTGGCCAAAGCCGCTAAATGACTTATACAAAATCCTTCTTCTTCTTCATAGGCCGTGGTGGTGCCTTCTGTGGTACTGTGTTACAAGAGTGGCCACAAAACTGTAGGTAACTATAAGTCTAAAATGGTGGAATAATTCACCAGGGTAGAGACAGGCAAAAAAGTTCATAGTAGAACATAAATTTACGGAAAACCTGATAAGCAAAGACAAAAAGACAGTCAAAAATGTAGTGAGTCTAACAAGGGCATTGCAAACTCATCTAGGCTTCTAAAGCTGAGAGAATTTACGGACATGTGCAGATTGTGTAAATCAGAAGAAGACACAGTTACAAATTTTTATTACTCTTATTTTATGTCAGTGGGATAGCCTGGCAAACAGAGCTCTATGGAGGATTCAGTATCCAAGTTATTAGACTTAGTTATTAGACTGGACAATCTAACCTAGAGATCAGGAGAGAGCCAAAATAAATATAAAAAGGTCGCAGTGGAACAGGTCAATAACCTCAATAATCTAATCTAATCTTTTGGAAAACTATTTTATTCCAGCTCCTACACTCTGTAACAGTGGCGGATCAACGGGGGGGGGAGGGCTTCGGGGACTCAACCCCCCCTTTGAGTTCAGTCAAATAATAGAATAATATTATTAATTTATTTTGTCACAAACGACTCTGGAGTATGTACTCTCGATTCTGGATAAAGTTTTGAGTCTAGCCCCCCCTTTACCGAATTCTAGATCCGCCCCTGCTCTGTAACGTTCTAGATCCATCTGTATATTGCTTTTATGGGTGTTCCA